ATGATGTAACTAATGGTGCATATATTATGAGGTATGTGTGATAGAATTCTCTCTTAAAAATATTTTTTTTTGGAGGTGATACGGATGGAATAAAAATAATACATTTTTATAATTGAAAGAGTTCATATATATGAATTTAAAAATAAAAATAAAATAAAATAATTTTCATTAATAATTAAAAGATATTGATTGATGTAATTAATATATATATGTATATATATATTTTGTTAAAACATATTATATGCTGAGACAGATTTTCAACCGTCAATGGTGGTGATGCTGCATTCTAGGGGACCATCAAAGACAACTCCAACTCCAACTCCAAATGTAATGGAAACATAGTGGTATGTAAGTGGTTGCCTACCACTCAATCCACTTCCTTCACTGCACATAAAAAAAAGTAGTTTTGAAATTGCTCATGATACTTTAGAATAATGTTATTTAAATATAAAAATTAAAATAAATTTTATTTTATTCTCTTACGATTTAATTAATGTGTGCATAATTTTTAATTATTTGAAAATAAATATATAACCTTCATGTGTGTTAAAATTTGATCACACAATCAAATAGAATCTTCCTTTGAGATTCAAGGAACAAAGTCGAAGACTATGTCCACTAGATGGAATCACTAACCTAAAAATACGAACAAAATAACTAACCTGATTGCTATCAACTGGGAGCGTGCTCTAATGATCAAGTCAGCAATCCATATATCTCAAAGACAATCAAAAAGTAACAAACAAACAAACAAGGCCTCGTTTGTTTTGGAAGATAGAGATGGCATTAAGATTAAAATAGATGTGGGATACACTATATGTTGTGTTTATTTTGAGAGATGGAGAAAGGATTCATAATCTCATTGGATTAGGATGGACCTTGGTGTTGGGAATGAGATAGAGGAGGTAGATGTGGTATTAGGAAATTAGTCCCATGGGATTAGTTTTTTTTTTTTTTTTCCTTCAATGTTGGGCATTTTTTTTAACATTAATGTTTAATGTTTCTGTATTTTTTGTTAAGTAAAAATCATAGTTTTATTTGTTTTGACATTTTATATTTCTTTTATATGATAATAATTTAACAATCCCTACATTAACAACTACCATTAAAACAAACATAATTTTACTTAATTCCTCACTAACGATCTCCTTACTATCAATCTCTTCCATTCTACCACTGAAAACAAACAGGTAATAGCTCACAAGTTAAAAAGTACATCTCCCCATGGGGTGCCTCTCTATATGTAATAATATGTGGCCTCATCTTACCCGAACTTTAACTTCACTAGGGCAGTTATTCCCAACAGGAATAACACTTAATCCAAGACTCCATTATTTTAGTTGGATTGGGATAAACCTCTCATCCAACTCAGGAATTTGCCTTCAATTAGGACTCAAAATCCTTCTCCAAATATCTCGATTCTGGTGGGATCAAATCACACCTTGGCTATATATGACGTATCGCGGCTAACAACCCACGTAGACAATTTTAAAACTATGTCCCCACAACGCTAATAGTTTGTGGCTACCATCAAGCTTGTTAACTGGTTAAGAAAAAAAAAACATTAAAATAGCCTTGTATATAATTAATTTATTATGCAAATCATGAATATTTTTGTCATTTTTCTTAGGAATTAAAATTCTCTTTAACCCTAGTATTTTACTTTATTTATGGTTTATTTCCCTGATATTTAGAAATGAGTTTATTGCTGGCAGTCTAGCATGTGTTTCACACTTGTTAATTTTGACAGAATGTCTAATGATGCACTCTAATACACAAATGAATTATTGATGAAAATAATTAAAACCTTAAAAAAGTATCATAATTGTGCCAAATTTGTAAGGTTGAATGTATTTTTTAAAATATTAGGGGAGGTACAAAATGCCATGCAAGTATAGATTTTATTATTGAAAAATGCTAATGACAATCTTGGGGTTGTTAATAGTATCAGTAGATGTGTAAAAATCTATTGCAACATAAAAGGTGTGTTAAAAAAAAAAAAAAAGAGATGCATAAAAATTGCATTGAGATTTTAACTTTTTGATGTTTTATTTTTCTTATTGAAAATCTATTGAGCTATTGTTAACATAATCACTTAGTATTCCTATTAAAATGACTTAAATCTAGTCATGAATTATGTAGAAAAAATTGAATTATGATCCTTTCCATTCAAAGTTGTAATGGAGGATTTTCATTATATTATCTAAAAGTTTGTAATACCCTTATATGACATAATGGGAATTTTCCATTACAATGGCATAATGAAGAGGATCTCAATCTAAAAATTTTTGTAAGAATATTCTTCTCCTTCTAACTAAAATGCTTAAAAATATACATATTTTAAATATGTTTTGCTTAGTTAAAACTGAATACATATAATCTAATTTTAATTTTCTTTTCCTTGACATAATTAAAAGTCAAGCATGGCGTAAGTTTGGCATGTTGGAACATGAGTGAAGAAGGTAGAGTCTCACATTGGATATAGAGTAAAAGAGATGAGTTTTAATATATATTAGATATGCTCTCCACTTATAGATTTAAACTTTTAAATGGGTATGAGCTCCAAATATTGTATATTTAAAAATTTGGCAAGAATATTCTTCTCCTTCTAACTAAAATGTTCAAAAATATACATATTTTTAATATGTTTTGTTTAGTTAAAACTAAATACATATGAACTAATTTTAATTTTATTTTCCTTAACAAAATTAAAAGTGAAACATGGCATAAGTTTGTCATGTGGGAGCATGAGTGAAGAAGGTAGAATCCCACATTGGATATAAAGTAAAAGAGATGAGTGTTAATATATATTAGATATCCTCTCCACTTATAGTCTTAAGCTTTTAAGTATGTACGAGTTCCAAATAATGTATGTTAGGCCTTGATATGGTGTCTGTAGACTCTAGAGTTTCTCTCTAATAGATTGGGCTGATATTGCGATGCGCTTGTAGGCTTCCTAATTCCTTAACAACTGGTATCAAGAGCCAATGACAGACGATCTATGGGCAGACTCTCTTGGAGCATCAATGTTCGCGGACTGGGGCAAGAAAATTCATAATGACTCTTGATAGAGTAAAGAAAATTCTTGGTACACATGGAAAGGCTGGACTGCGACAAGGTGGTTCTCAATGGAGTGTGTGCAAGTGACTAAAGCTAGACTCGATATTGGAGAGTTAAAAATCAAGATTAAGGGAGAGTATGTAATGATTTGCGATGAACTTGCTGATGATAGATCAAAACTTGAGTGGAAGCATGCAGAGACCCAATGTTTGGTTCACACATGAGGAAAAAATTGTTGGAGCATGTGTGAAAAAAGTAGAGTCTCACATCGGATAAATAGTAAAAGAGATGAATCTTAATAAGCTTAAACTTTTAAGTGGGTGTGAGTTCTAAATAATGTATGTTAATATTTGGCTCACACATGAAAAAGAAATTGTTAGAGCATGTGTGAAGAAAGTAGAGTCCCACATCGGATAAATAGTAAAAGAGATGAGTCTTAATAAGCTTAAACTTTTAAGTGGGTGTCAGTTCCAAATAATGTATGTTATGTTTGGCTCATGAGGAAGAAATTGTTGGAGCATGTGTGAAGAAAGTAAAGTCCCACATCAGATAAATAGTAAAATAGATGAGTCTTAATGTACATTAGATGAGTTTTCCACTTATAAGCTTAAATTTTTAAGTGGGTATGAGTTTCAAATGTATGTCAGGTTTTGATGTGGTATCGGTGGACTTTAGAGTTTCTGAGTTTCTCCTTAATGAATTGGGCCGATATTGCTGTATACTTTTGTGGGCTCTCTACTTCCCTAATAGTACCAATAGAGATTCTCAAACTAAACCCTAAAAATACATTTAGGTGATGTTTGTTTAGAGATAAGATTACGAGATTGGACTATGTAACTTCATTAATCTTAAATCTCATCTTTGGATATAAAATGTAATCCAAACTATGTATCTCCTATATAAGGGGCTATTAAGTCTCATCCGAAGTGATATACAAAATGAGAGAATTATAAAGAGTCTGAATTGAAGGTTTAAAAGATCATAATATCTTGTAGTCCATGTTTGATGACTCTAAATAAATATAGATTTTATTAATCTCATAATTTAGTGGACTCCAAATACAGGATAAGATACTTAATCCTATGACTGATAATCTCGCCACTACTAGTTACTTAAAAACAAAACAAATATGACATTAGTTTAGCCGCCATTGGATTGGGAAGGATAGATTAGGTACAAGATCGACATCATTTACATAAGGTAACTGTCCTCGCACTCCAATTGTCCACAATTAATTAATAAATTTTATTTGACATTATTATCTTTGACATCATTTGCATAAAGTAACTGTCCCCCATTTGAATTGTCCACAATTAACAATTTTTTTTTTGTTTTTTTTTTTTTTTGACTTCAAACTTAACCAAGAAAACCCTAGATATTAGGGAGAAAAAGATTTAAAAGTTCCTTAGTTGCATGGCAAAGTTGAAATCACCATTGGGTGAATTGGAAAAGACATGTACACCAAAAAAAAGCGTGGTGGTGTTAAATGCACCAATTGCTATATCAATTAGTGTACCAATATATATTATGACATTATTATTGACCACACTCATTGACAAATTACAAATATTCAAAACTTCTAAAATTATGTCTCAACATCCGTTAATACACAAATTAATATATCAATTGGTGTATATAATATTATTCAAAAAAGTGTATTGAAATAACCGATCTTTTATATTTTATCGGTATTTTATTCACATCTATTATTAGGAATAAAATATTTCATGTTGATGATTTTGATAAAGTGTATTTAAATTACTGATCTCTCCTATATTTTATCAGTATTTTGTTCGCATCTATTGTTACGAACAAAATATTTCATATTGATGATTTTGTTGAACCAATTGTTTGGTCATCCTAACAATACAGAAACAAAACACAATTGGGACTTACATGGACAAAATATATATATATAATACACATAAACACAGCAAAACTAACGTCATATTCTACCATGAAATATCATATATGCTCCATGAAGGGCTGATGAATAAAAGATACAAAGTTGCAGAGTTGGAACTCCCTGAATTAAATGGGTTTAAAGGAGAAGAAAGTTGCTTAAAAACTCTTACATTCATACTTCTCAAGTTCCTATCCAATACATATATAGTACTCTCTCTCTCTCTCTCTCTCTTCTAAAATTAAGAATTAGATTCAACAATCAACACAGCCTCTCCCCAATCTGGGGAATGGAGTGTGCCGGTTGTTGGCCCCTGAACCCGGATAATCGTTGACCTCAACATCCATCCTTCTACCAATCCTTTCTTCCTCCATTCTTTCTTCTGTATTTGCCTGAAATTATTAAAGAAAAAAATACATTAGTACAGTGAAAAATTTAACAGTCATGAACTCCTATATGACAATTATGGTAAATCAAAAAACATGAATTAATTGAATTACCAAGTGGGTATTTTCCGAAACTCCATAACCTTGAGATTCAAGCATTAGATTTCTTGTTCCTGCACAAAAAAAATGAATCTAATTAACTCGTCATCATCAAGAAGAGAAAGAGAGAGAGAAAGAGAAGGAGGATTACTGGTAATTGGGATAGCATTCAAGTAGGTAAGGTGAGAAAGACATAAAAGAACAACTAGCAGACGAAGAAGAGTGAGTTCCATTGCTATGACTCTTCTTCTATTGATGTGTTCTTGAGATGAGATGTTTGTTGTCTACAATAAATAAAGATATCTAGCTAGTAGTCCATTTATACATTGGTGTTGTGGTGGACACAATGGTTGTTAGTGATAGCGATCAAATCATGCAAATGTCCCATTAAGTGTTGGCCTAATGGGTGTCCATTCAGGTCTCATTTTAACTCTTTTGAAGTGTTATTAATTTTTTACACTGTATTTGATTGGAAGTTTTGAGAAAAGAATTTCAAAATAGAAAGAGAAAATGTGTGTGAAACTAGGTGAGATGTAAATATATTTTATTCATATTTTACTTACTTTTTCTTTTCCCTTTCCAAATCTCCAAACTAAACATAACATTAGGGTCACGCTCTTGAATTCTGCTCGAGATTTTCCTAATCCACGTGAAGGAAGAACTTTGCGTGAGTTTTAAAATTAATCGAAGTGTGTGTAAACTGACTTGACACTACAACAAAAAACACAAACGGCGACTAAAAAAAAAAATTCGTCGCTGAAAGTGCATGAAATGGCGACTAAAATGGAATTAGTCACTGAAAAGCAAGGTTTTAGCGACTAAAAGAGTATAGTCGCCGAAAAGCAGGGTTTTAGCAACTAAAATAAAGTTTAGTCGCCGAATATAGGGTTTTTAGCGACTAAACTTTGTTTCGTAGCCAAAAGTCACAGTTTTTGGCGACTAAAATACTTTAGTAGCAAAAAGTTACAGTTTTGGCGACAAAAAATAGGTTTAGTCGCTGATTATAGCAGTTTTCGCGACTAAAAACAATTTAGTCGCTGAAAGTGGGGGTTTTGCCGACGAAAATCCATTTTAGTCGCCCAAAGTAGTGGTTTTGGCGACGAAATTTCTGGATAGTCGCCAAAAGTGCTGATTTTTAATTGAGAACTTGTTTTTTAGAGACAAATAAATAATTAGTAGCCCAAAATAATACAATTAGCGACTAAAAAATGGTTTTAGTCGCCAAAAGTCGCCTAATTTTTTTTTTAGCAAATAATTTATTTTTTGACAAAAATTATATTGAATTAAAAAAATTATATTTATAAATATTATTTTGTATTAATTGCGGTTAATATAGTATATAAATAATATATATTGCATATATGATCATGTGATGATATACTGGCAGAGTGGAGGGAGTGTTGTGCAAAGGGTTTGGCGCAAGTTCGAAACCTGTTGGGAGCAGCGGAGGCAAAAAAAAAATTTTCCTGAAAACACTTTCAGTGACTAAAGTGAATGGTCGCCAAAGGTATAAAAAATAAAATAAAAAATGAACTATTGGCGACTAACAGTTTAGTCGGCAAAGGTATAATTTCCAATAAATAAATTGACTATTGGCGACGAAATCTTTAGTCGCTGAAGACATACATATTGGCGACAAATAGTATTTTAGTCGCCAAAGGCATTCGCGACCATTTATTGGCGACAACACGGGCGACTAAACTTTTTAGTCGGGAAAAGTGAAATTTTGACATTTGGCGACTAAAAATTTAATCGCCAAAGGTGTTTTTTCTTGTAGTGAACACTCGAGCATTAAAAAAATAAAAAAACAAAAACAAAAACAAAAACAAAAACAAACAAACAAACAAATCATGTAAAAGTCAAATAGTGTTATCTTAGCAGCAACAAAAACAATGTTGCGGTTGCATTGGCTTTATATATTGGTACACTCCACTATGCCTGGTGGAATTAAAATCACAGGGTGTCCATTCAGGTCTCATCTTTATTAATTTTTTATGTTGTGTTTGGTTAGGAGTTTTGAGAAAAAAATTTAAAAACAGAAAGAGAAAAGATGTGTGAAACTAGGTAAGATGTAGATATATTTTATTTATATTTCACTTACTTTTTCTTTTTCCTTTCCAAATCTCCCAACCAAATATAACATTAGGGCCACGCCCTTGAATTTTGCCCGAAATTTTCCTAATCCACGTGAAGGGATCACTTTGTGTGAGTTTCAAAATTAATCAAAATGTGTGTAAACTGACTTGAACCCTCGAGCATTAAAAAAGAAAAAAAAAAACCATGTAAAAGTCAAATAGCGTTATCTTAGCAGCAACAAAACAATGTTGTTGTTGTATTGGCTTTACATATTGGTACACTCCACTATGCCTGGTGGAATTAAAATCACAGGATCAGGATTTTTTGTAGTGGAATTTTCTGTAACAGACTTATTGTGGGGATTTTAACGGCTCATATTTAATATTAAAGTAGAATTACGTTGTTCTATAGTGTGGGTTTGGGATTGGACTATTAGTCTCACTAAACTAATAGTTTATTATTTATTTCATTTTTTTTGTTCCAGACTAATAGTCATATTTGTGGGACTATGCTACCTCATGGGGGGTTAGGATTATTTCCATGGGATTGGTATCCGTTGGGATTGTTTCCATGGGATTGGTATCCCATGGAATTAGGCTATGAAATATTCATTTTACCCCATGCTATTACTTAGCAAACAATTAGAAAATGATAAAATAGTCTTTTGAACATTTATAAAATATTTTTTTATTGTTGTTAATTTAAAATTATATATTAAATAAAAAAATTAAATTATAAATTATAAATTAGTGAATGAGAAGAAAAGTAGAGAAACTCATCCAGAGAAATTTGGTCCAGAGAAATTTCTCTGGGCCAGAATTTCTCTGACCAATTTTCTCTGCACTGAAATTTCTCTGGACTGAAATTTCTCTAGACCAAATTTCTCTGGACCAATTTTCTCTGAACTGAAATTTCTTTAGACTGAAATTTCTCTGGATCAAGGTTGAGAGACCTTAGACATTATGAAAATATTGTTGAGGGACCTTAGACATTATGAAAATATTTGGTGTCCTTTATGCTATAAAATCATAATACCAGGGACCTTAAAAAAAAACTCCTTAAAAATTATGGCCTTATAAATTAAATTTTTTTAGTGTTGTTAAATTATAAATTATAAATTATAGATTACAAATTTAAAATTATATATTAAATAAAAATTATAAATTACAAGGGTAAAATAGTCTTTTGAACATTTATCATTATCCAGTCTCTCTAACCAAACATTCGATTCACTAAAAATAGTCCAATCCAGACATCTAATCCCATAACTAAACAAACATAGGATACAAATCCAATCCAATCAAATAATCCGGGGATAATATATCCCAGGACTGACTAACAATCCAATGGATTACAATCCCCCCTTATCCAGTCCGTCCAAACAAACAAACCCTATATGATTTTAGTGTCATTATATTTCAGTTCTAGCTCAAATTGTTAGATTATGTAGTTTTGTTGACGTATTATGATAAAAAATACTGCAAGATCATTACGGAGAACAATGGCAGAGAAACTTCATTTAAAATCATATATGTATGTGCAAGTTTCTAATATGTATTAAGCTAAATTATAATGATTTCCTCTAAAGTTTGAAGAAAAATAAGTAATTTTTTAGTTTTGGTATAATTATACTGACTTTTTTTTTAGTATAACTAACAAGACCAAAACTAATACAACTAGTATAGAAACATTAAGATAATAAATATATATATTTCAACATAAAAGATATGGCAATATTATTTTTTATTCGTATAATTAACCAATTATTCATGAGAAGAGAGTTAAATGTCATGTAAATTAAAATGTTAAAAGTGCTTAATATAATTTTGTCAAAATTGTGAAATTTATTATATTTTTACCAAACCTCAATAGACGTCAATGTTATTTATCCTATGTATTATTAGTTCACAATTGATTCACAATCAATACAGTCCATTCGATTACTAAAACAATCTTAAACTTCTAAAATCATTATTTTTGTGACCGATACCGATACATCTTTTCTCATTATTATGTAGAACGAAATGAAAAATGAGTCAAACCCCATTTGTGAAGGACCCCCACAACCCCCTTACTGATCTACACCATTCATGATGTGTGGGATCTACATCATGAATGGTGTGAATCACAAAGGGGGTTGTGGGGGTCCTCCACAAAGGTGCCTCTCTCATTGCTGTTTTGTGAAACATAGATGTGGAACATGCCATGTGGTTAGTAGTTGAAAGTGTGAACCATAGATATGAAATTGGTGAGTACTGGAAAGTACTGGTTGTGGTTTTAGTGGAAGGTATGATGGGCCAAAATAGGAACAAAAGATGGGCACACTAAAGCAAGTGGAGGGGCAACAAAAGAATAGTGAGTGGCATGGCATATGGAAGTTGAGCTCTAGCACTATACTAAAGTCAAGGGTCTAGTGGATTCTATCACGATATTTCATGGGTTAATTTTTAATTTATTTATTTTATCTCAATGGGGTTGAATTGTTAATTAACAGTCTTGAAAAGGCTCACAACCATGACTAACTGGTAATTTGATTTCAATCCTGCATTTCCTAGAAGGATTTTGAATTGTAATTTCACAAAATAATTATAGATTTAGAGAAAATTTAAAGGATTCAATTATTAACGTTTATAAGGTTTATCATTAATTTGATTTTTTTATTTTATGAACATACACTGAATTGATATTTTTTCCGATTTGAATTGCTTGTAATTGTTGGGCCAATTAGACATTTCGTCTTAATGGATTCTATTGAGTTTTTGTGAACTTGGGATTCATTTTGATTATTCGAACAATTTATCTTATCTTCGTTGGTTCAACACTCCGTTTAATAACTGTGTCACCAAATCATATGATGCCTAGGTTCATATTAGAATGTGGTCAATCATAATCTGCTAATTTCATGTGCGATTTAAGTAGTATCGAAAATTCTCACCCTTTTTTTTTACCCTTATTTTTTTTTTATCAAAAATAAAATATTTTCATCCCAAAAAAAGAATATCCATATATAATTGGTAATAAGTTTTTTTTTTTTTTTTTTGACAAAATAATTTTAATTTTTGTTTTTTCTATTTTTGTTGAAGCCTGTACATAAATTAGACTACATTTTAATAAATTTGAGCTCAAATATTAACCGAGGACTTGACGCTATATGTACATGCGATAGTGTTATGCACATTCCAAAGCGCTTTTATATGATATGCAGATAAAATTTTAGTTATAACGGTTCACAATTTTTATTAATTTGAGTTATAACAAAATTAATTAATTCATAACAAAAGCACCATAATAATCTTATTACCAAACCAAGACATTTGGTGTAGTGGTTATATAAACATCTTTTCAGTTTGGAGATAGCTCTCTTCTATATTCTTACCCTCCATACTCTTTCATATTTCATTTTTTGAGTTTCATTTTAGACTCACAATAATGATCTATACCGTTCATCTCGTAATCTAAACATTTAGATGAGTTATGCAAAAAATTAGTTTCATTGGATATCATTAGATACATGAATAAATTGCATCTTATTTTTTTAAATGGATAATAATTGCAAGTTTAAATTTAAATCTTTCATTCTATAAAACAAAAAACGATTTGTTTATATATTAATCGATATCCGATGAAACTGATTTTTTTATGTAGACGGTCTTTATTGTAAAATTTATAAGATGAACGATTTAAATTATTATTGTGAACCTAGAATACCATTCATGATGTGTGGGGCCCACTCATGTATGTGTGGGGTCCACATCATGAATGTTGTGGATCACAAAGGGGGTTGTGGGGGTCCTCCACAAAAGGGCCTCTCTCATTGCTGTTTTGTGAAACATAGATGTGGAACATGCCATGTGGTTAGTAGTTGAAAGTGTGAACCATAGATATGAAATTGGTGAGTACTGGAAAGTACTGGTTGTGGTTTTAGTGGAAGGTATGATGGGCCAAAATAGGAACAAAAGATGGGCACACTAAAGCAAGTGGAGGGGTAACAAAAGAATAGTGAGTGGCATGGCATGTGGAAGTTGAGCTCTTGCACTATACTAAAGTCAAGGGTCTAGTGGATTCTATCGCGATATTTCATGGGTTAATTTTTAATTTATTTATTTTATCTCAATGGGGTTGAATTGTTAATTAACAGTGGTAATTTGATTTCAATCCTGCATTTCCTAGAAGGATTTTGAATTGTAATTTCACAAAATAATTATAGATTTAGAGAAAATTTAAAGGATTCAATTATTAACGTTTATAAGGTTTATCATTAATTTGATTTTTTTATTTTATGAACATACACTGAATTGATATTTTTTCCAATTTGAATTGCTTGTAATTGTTGGGCCAATTAGACATTTCGTCTTAATGGATTCTATTGAGTTTTTGTGAACTTGGGATTCATTTTGATTATTCGAACAATTTATCTTATCTTTGTTGGTTCAACACTCCGTTTAATAGCTATGTCACCAAATCATATGATGCCTAGGTTCATATTAGAATGTGGTCAATCATAATCTGCTAATTTCATGTGCGATTTAAGTAGTATCGAAAATTCTCACCCTTTTTTTTTACCCTTATTTTTTTTTTATCAAAAATAAAATATTTTCATCCCAAAAAAAGAATATCCATATATAATTGGTAATAAGTTTTTTTTTTTTTTTTTGACAAAATAATTTTAATTTTTGTTTTTTCTATTTTTGTTGAAGCCTGTACATAAATTACACTTCATTTTAATAAATTTGAGCTCAAATATTAACCGAGGACTTGACGCTATATGTACATGCGATAGTGTTATGCACATTCCAAAGCGCTATTGTATGATATGCAGATAAAATTTTAGTTATAACGGTTCACAATTTTTATTAATTTGAGTTATAACAAAATTAATTAATTCATAACAAAAGCGCCATAATAATCTTATTACCAAACCAAGACATTTGGTGCAGTGGTTATATAAACATCTTTTCAGTTTGGAGATAGCTCTCTTCTATATTCTTACCCTCCATACTCTTTCATATTTCATTTTTTGAGTTTCATTTTAGACTCACAATAATGATCTATACAGTTCATCTCGTAATCTAAACATTTAGATGAGTTATGCAAAAAATTAGTTTCATTAGATATCATTAGAAACATGAATAAATTGCATCTTATTTTTTTAAATGGACAATAATTGCAAGTTTAAATTTAAATCTTTCATTCTATAAAACAAAAAGCGATTTGTTTATATATTAATCGATATCCGATGAAACTGGTTTTTTTATGTAGACGGTCTTTATTGTAAAATTTACAAGATGAACGATTTAAATTATTATTGTGGACCTAGAATGGAGTCCCAAAAAATAAAATATGGAGGATTAGAGTATTTTTTTTGGGGGGGGGAGCTATTCTCTTTTGGGGTTTGGGGTGTGAGGTCTGAAGTACAATGAGTCTGATAATCTTTGTGATAGTTTATTTTTCCCCTGTTATAAGGGTTGTATGTGATCATTAATAGTTGTTGGGCTTGACTTGGTGGACTTGATGGATTAGTTGTTAGGTTTTATTGACTTTCTAATTATTGTGAACTAATAGTTTATTTAGGCTTCGTTGGGCAAGTGGCTTTTTTAGTCAAAAAGTCAAAAAGTTACTCAAAAAGTCAAAAAGTTAACAACTTATACTAAAAAGTCAAAGATTTTATTTTCTTTCTACTTTTTGCACATCTTTTCGTAAAAAGCCAAAAGTCATTCTAAATATACTAGTTTTTTTTACATCATATTTTAGCTAAAAAATTAAAAAGTTACTAAAAAAATATGTTCCCAAACGAGGCCTTAATAACATAAATATTTCTCATAATGTAATTAAAAAAAAAATTCTCATTACCAAGGCCATTTTAACCAAGCAAGTACCACAAAAATCTTATAATAAAAAACTAATTTGAGTCTTAAAAACAAATATATAAAAGTCACAAAAACCTAATAATATACTGACTCATAACTAAGAATATAAATTTTATAATTAAAGCATATGAACACAATTTTTAAAGGAAACTGAACAATACAATTTTCCCTATGTATGGAGGTTTGCGCTAGGGATGGCAATTTGAACTCGGCCCGACGGGGACCCGACCCCCGTCCCCGATAAGAACGGTTTTTCCCCGAAAAATACTCTCCGCGGAGCGGGGATGGTATTAAAAAATAAATCTCCGGTGACATTCGGGCCGGGGACGGTGATATATATTTCATCCCCGGCCCGCCCCGGCCCCGGCCCTGCCCCCGATTTATATATATATTATATATATGTTACACTTTACGTCCCCGGCCCCAGCCCCGGTTCTCCACGAAATAAAATTACCGTAATACCCCTCCATCAGTCATATATATAACCACCCTTTGTTAATTATCCCTCTGATCTCTCTCTCACACTCACTCTCTCTCTCTCTCTTCTCTCATTCTGTCTCTTCTCTCATCAGTCGGCGATGGCGATGGCGATGGCGTCGTCGTCTCCTACTCACCGCCTCCTCCTCCTCCTTCGTCACCTCTCACCGCCTTCTCCTCCTCCTCCCCCGTCGCTTCCTCCTCCTCCAGGCTACCGCCGAACCGTCGCCTCTCGCCTCCTCCTCCCTCCGCCATGGCAGATCTAAACGGATCCCGCCACCGCTACCGTCGATTCCCTTTTTCTCAGATCTGAGCAGATCCTCCCTCCGTCACTCAGATCCTCCCTCTCGCCTGCTCCTCCCTCCGCCACCGTGTATCTATCTCTATTTTTTTTTTAATTTTTGTTGTATCTGTCTCTATATTTTTGTATGTTACACTAAAAAAAATTTCAACACTAAGAAATGTTGTTGATGATGTTTTTAAGAATTTTTTTTTTGTTGATTCCATATACATATTATTATTGTTATTTTTTTTGAACAGATTTGTGTGTGTGTGTGTTGAACAGATCTCTGTGTGTGTTGTGAATAGGTCTGTCGGGGATTTCTTGGGGTCGGGAAAACCCGATCCCCGTTAGGAGGCGAGGGTGGGGGAGGTGATAGGTTCCCCGTCGGGGATCGGGGCCGAGGACGGGGAAGTTTTGGCCATCGGGGATCGGGGACGGGGAGGGTGGTCCCCGGCCCCGCCCCGCCCCGTTGCCATTCCTAGTTTGCACCTTTCACCCTAGACGATCTTACTCAATCTAAAAAATGTTAGTCATAGCGTTTTGCATCTAGTGTTTACAATCAGTTTGAATCAAACCAAGAGTTAGAATTGTCCAAAAAATAATATAAAGCTAATTCTTATGTATACATGAAGAAAACAACAAACCATAACCTCCTCCAAACCTCATTTTCTATCTCTTTCTTGAATCTCGTGTATCTTCTCAACACATGTTTTTTCCTCATTTGGTTTTTGACTTTCTTAACTAATTTTTGACTAAGACATCATTTAGAAATAGACTATTTTAGTAATTTTTTAGATTTTTAGTTAAAATATGAGATAAAAAATTAGTATGTTTATAATGACTTTTTAATTTTTTACAAAAAAATGTGTAAAAAGTAGATAGGAAAAGGAATCTTTAATTTTTTTGTATAAGTTGTTGATTTTTAAATTTTTTTAATGACTTTTTGACTTTTAAATTAAAACAGTGAGTTGTCAAACGAGACCTAATTAACTTAGAATGTTTGTTTGTTTGTTTGTTTGTTTGTTTTCATTTTAAAAAAAAAAAAAAAGACCCAACTCACTTAACTTTGGAAAATGCTATCCTTAAATTTTCTATCAAATAAATGACCAAATGTCTCAAATTTTCTATCAAATAAATAACCAAATGTCTCACATGGATGTGAACCCCATACTTTTGTAGACCATATGTGAGACATTTGGTTATTTATTTGATAAAAAATTTGATATCTCTAACATTAATCCTTGACTTTTTCACTAACAAAAACATGTTTTTTTAATATTTAGTAAACACATTAGCTTTTTACCAAAACTTTAAAATAAAGAAAGTACAAAAATATGTAAGTTATTTAAAAAGTCGTTGCCAAACCAGTTCAACAAATATCTTGTTGATTTTCATTTTATTTTTATTTTTGATTAATTACATCTTTTATTTTTAAAATATGAGTCTGGTGTCATTTGTAGTCTTTAATGTTTTAATTATGTCAATTTAATTTAGTTCCTAGTGTATAAAAATATTTCAATTTAGTCCACAATGTCTAAATTGTGTCAAAAAAATTTTTTTTTTTTAATTTATAAAAATGTTTCAATAGTCCTCATAATAAAAGTGTATAAATTGAAACACTTGTATACATTTGAGACAAAATTGACATAATATAAATATTGGACCCCAAAAAAGTGTATAAATTGAAAACACTTTTTAAATATTGAGGATAAAATTGACACAATTTAAATATTGAAAACTAAATTGAAACATCTTTTATACATTGAGACTAAGTTAATACGATTAAAATATTAAGGATCAAAATGGTATCCGCCGTGATTATTTGGTTGATTGTCTTGACTTTTGAAAGATCACCAACTTCATATAAAAAAAAAAAGGAAAAAAAAATTGTAGGAGACATGTGTGAATGTAATTAACTTTTAAAAGATAATAAATAAATAAACTGAATGTTTTCAATTGTCACATGTGTGACACTGATATCAAATGGATTTTAAGGGTACCCGCCGTGATTATTTGGTTGGTTGTCTTGACTTTTGGAAGATCACCACTTAAGAACGCCTTTAATTGTGGGTCCTTAATTATATTACACCAATGTGGTTACGAGGTTCGAACGTTGGCAGTCGAAACATCAAACAAGTTTGACCACTTTATATATAAAAACATTTCTAAAAGGTTGTACACATTTTAAATCAAAATAAGCAAAATTTACAAATGGTTTAAAAGCAATTAAGAAAGTTACAGCACTAGTGGAAGAGAACAAACAATCATACTTCATTTTATTAGAAATAAAATCAACTCCACTATTTGTTGAGCAATATGAATTCTGATAAATATTTATTATTGATTACTCGATCGCAGTTTTAACTTTTTTTAGTAAGGATATTTTGATATTTTTGTATTTGTGCCATGTTAATTTAATTTCTATCATTTATAGGTGATGGCGAGATAGTTATTCTTGTAATTTGTAATTCTCTAATCATAATAAAAATCGCAGTGATTGTGAACGTAATCCTAATTTAGAGTGAATCACGTAAATCTCTATGTCTTCACATGTGTTTATTTATCATTTATTATTATTATTTTTATTTATGTTTCATGTCTCACAGATAATAATTAGATGTATTAATTCTAACACTATTTTCTCTTGCTTTAATCGTGACATTTGGATGAAACTTTAGGTAGTAGTGCGTAAAACCCGAGAGGGAGGTTAATTTGATAACCTAGAGGTGGTGCATATGTTAATTTCTTCGTGTTATATTTTATCAGAAATAATCCTCAAAATTAATACACCCTAAAAATCTTATTTCAGTTCATTATTTGTGTAAAGCTTATTTAAGACGACTTGTCCAAAAAAGAAAAGAAAAGACATATATACTCAAAAGAAGTTGAATATCTTGATGTTGAAGATCCTGCCATATAGGATCGTTTGTCTGTAGCTTGCCGACAAAATATATTGTGTAGTAAAAGAGAGATAAAAAGCTACCATTTTCCCTGATTCTCTAAAGAGTAGTACTATATAAATAGAAAAAATAGACCAAAAAAAATTAATAAACATGTTGTGACAAGTTTTAATTCTATCCTATCACTTTGAAGTAAAAAATCTATTAAGATTATCAACATTTTTCAAACTGTCATTGTGGGGAGGTAGTTTTTGAATACTCCTTTAATCTAAATAAGTCTGTAAAAGATCTTCCAATCATTACCTGAAACAGAAAAGAAACTCCAATCAGTGATGCCGAAATTAGTACTCCGACGAGTGAATTAATTTCTTTCGAAAGAAGTATATTTTGTTTCTTAGAGTACAAGTTTTTCGAACATACATCTCTCTTCAACCTCCTCTTCCTTTTATAGAGTCATTCTCCTTGGTATCTCCTCATGTAGCTTAGCCCCTCGTCATCACCTTGTTAGGGTCCATCTCCCTACTATAGTTTTTTTGGAAGGGACAACCTGGGCCTACCTAATAGGACCATATCGAATTACCCGATGTACTCAGCCCAGACGGTCAGTATAAATACCCTCAATTCGGCACTCTTCCATTCATTTGCAATTACTCGGCGATGACTTGTTCAAGTCCAATGGGCTTTTGGCCATATCCGGCCCATTATAGATGGGCTTGGGTGCGACTTGTCTGCCATTCAGGGATTAAATTTACTCGACTCCCACAATTGCCCCCCGAGCACCTGGTTAACCTAAAGTGGCCTACGTGCTCGGCTTTTATTGGATCAGCTTCATTAGACCAATTTGTAGCTAACTTGGATTACATCCAATATGTCTTGAAATTTGGACGCGTGATAGACATGCTATTATGCCTCTGACACAGTGGATGAGACTCGATAGGGAATATATAAAGCTTTCCGTCTCTTCAAACTCTCCTCATTCATTAAATGTGATTTCAAAAGTCACATCTGTCGCCCCTTCACTTCTGAAAAGATGCCATTCTCACATCCCTTTGTTCCTATCTCTTCAACTGTAGTTGTTCCACATTCCTAATAGCTTGAGCAACCTTCATTCTCATCTGTAAGTCCTCTTTTCTCTTTCGCTTTGGTTTTCGTTTGTTCACCGTTCTTAACCCTCCATCTTTAGTTTATATTTCTATCACATCGTCGCCCTCATTTTACTCGTGGCAAACCATCTAAAAGCCCTACTTTCTGAGGGTAGGGTCGTTGTCTTCCATCGTCATTTTGCAATTCTAGACAACGTCCAACTAGAACTTGTTGGAGATGCGGTTATAGACTTGGAAAGGGTTGATGTCAGTACCATTGTTGTTCCATTATTGGCGATCACTGAAGGTGGAGCTTATTTTCCTCTTCACCCCTTCCTTAGATCCATAATTCGCTACTAGGGGTTAATTCCATCTTAGCCAAACGTCAATTTCTATCGGATTATTATGGGCATACCGCTAATTGTGTGTAAACGTAGGCATTCCTACCATTCGACATTGCTACGCCCTTGCCAAATCATCTAGTTGGCAAAGACGGTTTTTCTTAAAAGCCAAAGATATCAACCACCAACTGGTGATTCTGCTCGCTAGTTTAGGAAAGAGGGTGGGCGACGTCATGGTTCTTGTTCGCAGTAACTAGGAATTCGGTACAGGAGAAGACTGCTCGGACTCCATTCATAGGCAGAAGGGTGAACCAGGTGGCCGAGTAGATACTAATCGGCTTCTCATTATTCAATTTTCTAGTTCTAAATGCTAACCATTTTTTTAATTATTTCTTATTGCAGGTAGTGATTTTAAGAGAACAATTACTTTAGTGGACGAGGTCGTTCTCGCTTAGGTCAAAACTGTCCTTAATTGCATTGGCCAAAA